AAAGTCTTCGTGGGTTCCGTTTTTCAACTAATTTCTAATTGCAAATTAAGCGAGCTACAAACTAGTACTTATTCCTTAGCATCCTCTAATCACTCCAATAAACAAACGTACGCAGGTGAATTGACCTCGAAAGAGACTGAAAGAGTCATTTCACCAAAACGAATGACCGCTCTCGTTATTCCATTACATCCAGTAGGACCACCGTAGTAAGTCGTTCACATCAATCATTTTCCAAATGCTCTGTTTGCAAATACAATCTACCATAGATTTAAATTTTTTTTTTTTTTTAAAGACGACAACAGTTGTATAACCTAATCTATGCTATACTAAGGGGGAGGGAACGGATCTAAGGAGGCCCAAAAATAACCCGGAAAGAATTGAATCACTACCGGATCAAACGGATACACAATACACCAACAAACTATTTAAATATGGCATTTTGGACATTGCCTCCCACCCCACCAAACTAGGCGGTGGCCATCAGCCCAAAGACTGGTGGTTTACCATAGATTTAATTGTTTTGTTGTTTATGTAGTATTGGAATATATACAGATTGTGCCGGTGCCTTAGTTCTCTTCTAACTCCTTTATGATTGTTTAATGAAATTTTGACTGTGACTTGGGCAAAAAAAACAAAAGGGAAATGGAGAGGTTTTCTGACAATATGAACTCTTGCAGCGGAAAGAACTCATAAGCGTGACGCCTCACCTATAATATATATATATATATATATATGGGTTCAAATCATCATCAAATAAGTAAATGAAGAGTCACCGTTGGTCCCCTTTAAAAAAAAAATTAAGGAGGAGGAAAAAAAAGAAAGCATGTGGGTATACATCATATCCTCTGCTAGAATGGGTTTGTTTGGATAGGGTGTTATTTGAAATAATTATTATAATACTTTTTATGATGTGATGTATGTAAGATAAAAAAATAATAAAAAATATAAAAATATGAGTTGAAAAATATATTTATGATGTAAATAAAACATTATTTCAAAAAATGTGAAGTAATCAATTCATTGGGCTAAATTGTCTTTACGAACTTAAATATACTGGACGTGTAAAATTAGCTTTTATGAAGAGCTTAGCACCTTGGCAGAAGAGGCCGCTCGCAGGTCAACCTTAAATTTACTGCCTGAGATCTTTCTAAGTGAGTCCCACTTGATCCCCATTATGCAAAACTCATAAAATTTTGAAGGCTGCCATATATTCACATACATCGCAGTCAACATCAATTTTCGAAAATGAATTTCTGAATGTTCTCTGAAAGTGAGGTCTTGGTCTGTCATGCTTGTTCTACGCAGTATAACATAGCAGTAGGCATTATGCTACATCTCAGAAAATAATAAACACACGAGACCTCAAAGTCCCTCCTAATAATTCATGGATTAACTTGTTATGCATTGACGGTGCAGTGATTTTTCTTACATAAATAACTTTGGATGTATATCACGTGTATATTATTTGAACTTGAAATTTGAATTCATGTCACGTGATGGTATGATTTAAACTTACTAGTGTAAAAAAATAAAATGAACTGACAGTGTATAAAAAAAGTTATCCATAAATTATACCAGTATTCATTGTTTATCTTCGAATAGAAGGTAATAATCTTTGGACCGTGGAAAATAATGGTTGTCAAATATTTTTTTTAATCATCAAGAATTATCAAGGGAGAGAGACTAGTATTATATTTAGAGGGGCAACAGAATTATCGGGATAGGTGTTGGCTTTTAATTTTAAAAAATTTAAGAACAGACTTATGATTGCTTGCATTTCATTTGAATGGCCAAGCACACATCATACAGCTGAAATTCTCTTTATATATATATACATACATATTTTGGGCCATTCTCTCTTGAATTGGTCGCATGTATCCTTGGCACTTGAAAGTTACATCATAACGGTGAAACATCAAACTGAGGATCAATCCTATACGAAGAAGAACAGGGGAAAAACAAAAAACCCTATGCATTAAAAGTAAAAAAAAAAAAAAAAGAAAAAAAGAACCTCCTGTGTGTTTGATTTGGAGATGAATTATTGAATTTATTGTAGGGGGCACTTGGCAGTCACTAATACAGCAAATTGCCGCATCTTCTCTCGGTACTTTTGCTCTCATAATTGCACATGGCTGTTGTCAGTTCTCCAACATTCATTACTGTTTAATTAATTAACTTCAGCTATAGGTGTCAAATTTTAGGAATGAGTAAGTGCTGCCATTATCCTTCCTACGTAAAAATGTGAGGGGAATGCATGATTTCTTTGATATAATGGGTGTTTACCAAAAAATATTATGCGATTTTGTGCCTGAAAAATATCATTTATTTGCCCAACTGGTTCTTGTACCATTATTACTAGAATATGATCACGTGCCATTGATGTTACACGGATTTGGTAATTCCATATCTCAAATTGATAAAAGATGCACTACTCTACAAAAAGGTGACAATTTGCTATTGAAAAGGCCAAGATCCAATAGCAATTTTGTTGATTTCTTGCAATTGATTTAACTAGAGACATAGCAAAAGTTAATTCTCTGAGCCAGAAATCAAGATTATAGAACCTAATTAAGTGACTATCAAATCTCTTTTTTATTACATTTTTCAATCATCTTTTTACCTCACATATATCAAATCGCTACAGTAATTTTTTTTTTTTATAAAAAAATCAGAAAATGCAATTCCAACGAGGCATTAGAATTTCCACCGACATATCTTACGCGTACAATCGTACACAGAAGTTATCATCAACCTTGAAGGGGATAATCATCAGCAGAGTTGTGCAAAGTCTCGTTTGATAAACTTGTTAAAACTTCTCTTTTCTACTTTCAAAAGTTCGTCCGGGACAAAATTGACCGCAATCGAGTTTGAAAAACCCCACAGCACAGCTTTTCTCTATTCAAAAGCTAAAAAAGAAAACAAAACACGTCTTTCATTTCCGTTGAAAGAAGCCCAAAATGGATGTCCTTCTTAACACATTTTTCTCAATATAAAATGTGTTTTTCTTTCTTTCTTTCTTATTCTATGGATGGCGTGCCCTTCTTTTTAATGAACCGCTAGTGAAACTCCCCCTATGTAGTTGATATTTTTGCCACGTGGCAAACAACAACTATTGTCCTTTCTGGTGTCTGCGGTCTGCCTAGCCCAATGATTGATTTAAGGCCGTTGTTTCAATGTGCTTTCTAGGCTACGTTACTCTTACTTTTCTTTGGAGATTATTACAGTAATTGGTTACCTACGTAGAAATTTCATGAGTTTGTTTCTTTTTCATCTTATAATTGACTTTATTTATCTAATGCTCTCTTTTGTGCTAAAGAAGATAAATAATTGTTACTATATATATATATATATTCAGATAGAGTGTGATTAAAGCGTATTAACGAGTGCCTATTGAGCACTTGTTAATTAAAATAATCCTTTATTTTTACGGAACAAATGAAAATAACTTTAGAATAATATCTTCTGTTTGATTGGATTAGTTATGTGTATTTTCTACAAGGTATGAGTCACCGGACAAAAAAATAGGGAAAAAAATTGTGATTAGGACTAAATTAACATAGTGCAACTAATACACTAAATTCTTGATAATGATGGAGTGCAGATAACATATTGAATAGCTTAATTGATTGGTAGAACCAAAATTACCTTTTAATTGGAAAGTTTGAATAATTTTATTATCACAACAGGGAAACTATATGCAAGTTAATAAACTAAATTAAAATTTTCCTGCGCTTCGCTCCATAAGACCTGTTTTACTAAGCCATTTTCTTCGTTAAGTAAGTACTCATTAAGGCATGCAGTGAAACGTGAATTGTCCCAAGGCATAAAGAGTCGGTCGGAAAAGTGAATAATTGTATGCGGACAAAATTTCCATTAACTCATTGATGCATGCGCGGTAAAAATAATTCAGTTCAAAGAATTGCATGCCAAATGCCAAGCATGGTGAATGCATTTTTATCGTATTCAGTTTTTTAGGTACCTAAAGAATGAAGGCAAAACGGGTAGAAAATAAATTTGGGGGTACTTGGCAGAACGTGTTAATGCAACTAAGATGTTTTTCTTTTATCTTTTAGTGTTTTTAGGGGTATTTTTTTTCCTATCAACGAAGAGAAGAGAGTAGGCGGATTAGAATCTAAAATCACTATGTTTGGAGTATTTAATTTTAGCCGTTAGAGTTTTTAGGTGTGTTAAGTAACGAAGATCATATTTGATTTCAATGGCCATAGTGTTCTTTTTTTTTTTCAAAAAAAAAATTTCTTTTGTTTTTGAGGGTAGCATTTTTTTTTTGATGATTTAATATTATAGTATGCTCTTTTTTCTTCAAGAAAAGAAATTTATTATTATTTCAATTAAATTGAAATATTTATTTACCCAAATAAGCTCAAATAAATTTTTGCTGTCATTGAATTTGAGTATAAAATGAACTTGAAGTTGGTGGACACTGAATTTGGTCAAGGTTTCTGTATCAATATGTGTTCGCCAAACCATCGCGAAGCTATCTAGTGGAGTTTAAGATTTTAACTTCTAACCTTTATGTCAATAAAAATTCCAATTAAAGAAAATGTCAAATCACATCAAAATTTCCGAGTTTGATTAATGAGGTAATTAATGTACTAAGAAGTGGGTGCCAAGTATGCTACTCATACTTATAATTAGTACTAATAATAGCATCCTCTACTTATTATTCCGCGTAGGGGAGAAGAACCTGCCGTCTAAAATAAGCCGCAATTGGCGCATTTTAGTACTCTCAAATCTCAATAATATATGAGTAACAAAATTTTGACAGACTTACGAAATTTACATTATTACCATTTTCTCCGACATTGGTTCATTCACACAGTAATTACGATGTTAGTACGATAACACTTTCTTAAATTAAGTAATTAACCAAAACAAATTCTTAAACTGAACTCTGATCTGAAATCAAAGTATGGGCTGGCATCCCACGAAAACCCCTCAGAAACAAGAAATAAATCCAAATCTCATTTTCATTTTCAGCAGAGGGCCATCCTTATTAATTTCTCTGTGAATGTCGAAATTTATTAGTCCTACATCCAATCCCCACTTGGGATTATATTACATTAGAAAAAATGAAGTCCCTTTTGGATTTGTAGGCTTCATTGTCTCTTCTTTCTTCTGTCTTTGCTTCTAACATCATTATCTTTATTGCTTCAAAAAAATAGATCATTATCTTTATTCTTATTTTACTTACATCTGTGGTTGTTTATTTTGCTCGCAAACTGTTAACTTTCATCTGGGTTTACTCTAAAAACCCAATCTTCATTCGATTTCCAACCCTTTACGACAGTGTTTTTCTCTACTGGGATTGGCGGCATTGGATTGAACAATACTGCATATGATTTTTTTTTTTTATTGTTTTAACTTGATTCTTGCCTCAATTGGTGAGCTGGGATTAAATTATTTTGGGTGAATTTAGTTGATTTGCTGCCAGATTGGTGTTATTGGATTGGTTTCATTTGATTTATGCAGTGGATATTTTGGTGTACTTTGTCATAATAATTTGGGCGCATATCAGAGATTTTGTACTGTGCGAGGATTAAAAAATATTTGCTTTTTTGGTTGATTGCACGGGTGAAATTAGCAAGAAAAGAGAAGTACAATAGAGTTGGTTGTGGATGAGGGGGAAGGAAGGGGGAGATGAGAGGTGAAGAGAAGGGATTGAGAAGACAGCAATGACTACAGGGTCATTGGGTCTTCGATCCTCAGGAAGTTATGGATCATTGCAACAACAGCAATTTCAGTTTCAGAACGGTTCAGTGCCAAATCAAACTACGCCACCTGTCAATTCGCGAAAGCCATCCAAGATGCTCAAAGAGAAGGAAAGATTGTTTCCCTGGATTTTTAAATTTGCCCCAAGAAAAAAGGTTGGAATGCTGCTCTTGTGTGCTGTTTCGGCCGCCGTATTTATGTGGGTGTTGTATGTTGGCAAAGGTAAATGTCTATTTTAGCAATCTTTAATATGCTTTTTCCTTGTTTGGTGCACTTAATTTTGGTTTTAGCTTGCCTAAAGTACAGTTTGAATGCCATTAATGCGAAGACCGTTAAATGCAAGTTCAGCTTAATATTACTGACTAATATAGTTGGTGAGTATACGTTTTTGTTGTGGTTTGGCAGTTAATAATGTTTGATGTTGAGAATGCTTTCTGAGAACTGTTTATCGTGATGAATCCAGCTCGATCATAAATAGTGTTTGATGACAATCTGAACGCAGGCTTAAAATTGTTAATTATGATGAATCCGTCTTTGGAGAATCCGTGATGTAGGGATTGATGTCAGAGAATTTATGCTGTGTTCTAATATTTTTGCTTTTCATCTTTCATTTGACAATCTGATCATATTCGTATTAATTCCAGGTGAAGATTCGGCAGAAAGCACTATGAAGAACATTCAATTTAACAGTACTTTAGATTATAGTGGATTTTCTCCACTATCTGTGGAAAATGAGACAGTTAAAGTCAAGATACCTTCTAAGGCAATCATAGGCCAAGGAACTGCAACTTCAGGTCAGCTGCTATCTCCGCCACCGCCCTCGCCTCCTCCATCTCCTCCAGTATATTTTACTGGATATACCCTTCCTCCTGGGAATCCATGTGAAGGTTTCACGTTGCCTCCCCCACCAGCAGATCCAAAAAGAACTGGACCGCGTCGTATGCCTTCTAACTTCCTGTTCTGTTTTGATTTCTCTACGACTTGTTTGTATGAGAATATGCTTTCAAAACTGTGACTAATAAGAAGATTCAGAAACTTATTATTCTTTCCTCCTGTATTAACATGGTCATTTTATGAATTTAGGAATAATTTTCCTGCATGCTGTTTATTTTGTTCTTTCAGCCTGTCCAGTGTGCTACCTTCCCATGGAACAAGTTCTCAGCTTAAAACCAACAGCACCATCCTTCTCTCCTGTTCTAAAGAATTTAACTTACATTCATGAAGAAAACCTAACTAAAACTGAATTTGGAGGTTCGGAATTTGGTGGGTATCCTTCACTAGCACAGAGAAATGATTCTTATGATATAAGGGAGTCAATGAGCGTGCACTGCGGGTATGATTTCTTTACTGATGCAGTTCAGTGAATTTTAACATAATACAAGTCTTTCTTCTCTTCTTGGTTAAAATAATTTGGTAATCCATGTTTGGATTCATTTTAATAAGAGCGTGTCAATATACCCATTATAGGTTTGTAAGAGGAGTCAAGCCTGGACTGGGTACAGGTTTTGACATCGATGAATCTGACCTTCATGATATGGAAACTTGTCAAGGGGTGGTCGTTGCCTCTGCAATATTTGGTATGATATTCTCATGCAACTTGTATGTTATTCCAGCATGAAAGCTTTAGGTTTATAAACATGACAATGCATTGTTACTCAGGAGCCTTTGATTTGATACGTCAACCAAAGAACATTAGTGACTATTCCAAGGAAAACGTCTGCTTCTATATGTTTGTGGATGAAGAAACAGAAGCCTTTTTAAGAAATTCTAGTGCTGTGGATGTTAACAAGAAAAATGGGTTGTGGCGAATTGTTGTTGTTCGCAACTTGCCTTACACTGATCCAAGACGCAATGGAAAGGTAAGACAGTTTCAGATTTAATGTAAATTTTTTACATATTTGCTGCAGAGTTTGCAAATGAGAAGCAGATAAAACTGCATGGGACATATGGCAGTGAGTTTTTTTGGGGAATTGTCAAAAATTATTTTACTAATTTTGCCAGTATTGATAAGGCACTTTTGTGAACATGCAATGCATGACTATACATGACCGTGGAACTTCTCCTATGGTAATTTTGACATGATAAATGGCATCTATCTACAATCAAGTAATGACTTCTTATGGACACATAAATATATGTCTGACGTACACTTGTAATGACCAAAATGAAATTTTACTTTGACATATTGGAAAGTAAAAACTTAGCCTCGATTCATTTGTTTTGAGATTTGAAACCCCTGGTTTTTAAGATATCAATAGTCACGCTTCTTGAAAGACAAAGTAAATAATTTTACCTAATCTAAGGATATGTAATATCTAAGTGAAGTATATACAATTTTATTAAGTCTAGCCTCTGTGGAGCGTGTCTCTTATCTATGAAGTTCTGCAGTGGAACTTTTCTTTTAGACTGTCATACCTGTCTTTAAATCTATATGCATGTATAATTCTTGTGTTTTATGAATATTTTTTCCAAAAACATGTGAAAAGTGTGTCCTTGTTTGCTTTTTATTGTGGCCTGGTATAAAGAATTTACAGAAATTGCTGGTACCAATAGATGATTCTTGTGGAAGTTCTACTTCTTCCCAAACTTGTAGCACATAATTTGCTGCTTAGGGATTAAGTCTCAGTACCAACTGCTGGTTAATGTGCGCATCTTGGGTGCTTTTCTTCTGATTTAATTCTCTAAATGTGTCTATTTTGTGTGTTCTAAACCCCCTCTAGATGTAAACTCAAACAAACACTCACCAAAGTTGCATGAAGTTTAAAGAAGAATTTTACTCTGGTTAAAAAATGAAAAGTTGATGGTTAAATACCCTCCACATAAGCCTGATATAATTTTTGAACTGTTTGCTTCATTTGTAGGTCCATGAGCTGTCTTTCTTTACATATTCTAGAATTTCATGCTGCAACACCCAGTTTTCATTTATCTATCTTAGCTATTTATTAGTTTCTTCTATACTGGCTTTCTCCAATCGAGGTTTACTAGATAGCTTTCCCACTGTTGTTATCCACATTTCATTTCATCTATTATGTCAGTTATTTATTGTTTGCTTAAGTAGGTATCTTTTAAACTTGTCCAAGCTTCTGCAATTGAACTCCGAAAATCTCATACTTTTCAGATTATTGACAGGGGATTTTGAATGAAGCTTGTATATTTCCTAAATCTTTAAAATGTCAAGAGCCTAGTTGATTGGGTTGAACTTTGGACGTTTCCCAATCTTTTCTTTGTTTGCAGTTCTTTAATTTGCTGTATCTGTGGCACTTCTTCCTTCTCAGAACCAGAAAATGACTGACAAATATTAGTTGTGGTCATATCGCTGTCTTGTATCTCATAGACAATTTCACAGAGATCCTATTTTGGTATTGCTTTATTGTTTGAAAATCATTCCATTACTTCTGGTTTGAAGAGTGCTGAATCTATATAAGCAGGCAAGATGTAATTCTATTTCGCCGTTTCATCAAAAAAGGCAAGATGTAATTCTTAAGTGGGATTTTGGCAGGTTCCAAAACTTCTACTTCATAGGCTTTTCCCAAGTGCCCGCTATTCCTTATGGATTGATGGAAAGCTTGAGCTGGTGGTAGATCCATATCAAGTACTTGAGAGGTACTTCTGAGGCATTACCTCCTGTACTTGAACTATTTTCCAATGTCAGTTCTAAACTTTCATTGGAAGGTGATATTGGTACTTATTATGAAAAAATTGATGTTTCTCCGTCTTATATTTTGACCCTTTAAATAGATAACTATGTACCAGACCTTTGTTTCATGAGATATCCACCATTTTAAGTTTTATGAAACTTGTGCAGTTGCCTGCCCTTTCTTCTGTCCTTGCTTCCTCTGGGTCCACCAATTCCTTACCTCACAACCTTCCTTTGTCACCCATGCTATCCAAAATTCCAAAGCACCATCAGTTTGATACCAAGTCATAGTTAGCTACGCCTACAGAAGCTACAACTCCGAATGATTTAAAAATATCTGGCACTTATTCTTGTGGCCAAATGGATAACCAGCCTTTTTTTTTTTTCTAGATTCATGGCTACCAACTGCAAATTAAGTCCTTTGGACATGATTTATTTGTTATATTGTGGTTGGGACAGGCGTGGTTTTGGTATTTTGTTTGTTTTCTCCCCCTGCCTTTAGTCCAAATCTTAGGTTTTATTCGCTTCTTCTCCTTTTGGGAAGGGGATGGGGGTGGATGGGAACTAAAATTATGCCATTGCCACTCATTGCAAGTTTTTGGTTGATCATGTCTCAGGAAACATTTCCAAATTTATCCAATAGGCTTGTCTTGAAAAGAAATCACGTTGAGTATTAGGACACTGCAACATGTCGACATTTTTAAATCTTTAATAGATTTTACACACTCTTCTGAAAGCTGGAGATAGCAAAATTTACTTTGATCCTGCAGTACTAAATGGGATGCCTTCCGATGGAAAATGATAATGAAATTCAAATATCTGAGTCACTATTGAATGGGAATGGTTATGCAGGCATGGTAGCTGGATACATTATACTTGGCACACAACAATTGTCAAAAACCTGCCAAAAGAAAACAATGAATACACGAGTCTAGTGTCATGAATGGAGGCTCCATATTAAACTGGATAGGTGGTAATGATAGTAACAAAAACGATTTTGTTGATAAGGGTTGTTGTTGTATGAAAAATTATCTATTTCATGATTTGAAACTCTTTATCATGATAAATTAACAAAAAATGTTGGTTACGCATTATCAAGACATGGAGATGTTATTGCATAAGTGGTCCAAAGCAGTCATGGAACAGAATCTTCTAGTTCCAGTTTCATTTATGAGCAATTCTGGTTGTTCTAAGGGACAACATATCTATCCTGTTTAGTTGGAATCTTTTTATTTGATCAGTCGCAAGAAATCATATGTTAGTGGTACATATCCTTATGATCAATCTGGCACAAATATTGTGGATGGAGCTAATCATATATGAATTCAGTCTTAGAATTCGAACAATTCTTATAATTTTCTTATTCAACATCTGGCTGATCAATCTAGACTTTTTCCCTCTTGCCCAACATTCTTCAAATTGTCTCCTTTTTGCTTGATGTTTCTGACATGTTTTTTGGGTCATCTCGTCTGCATACTTCAACTGCGTGACTTTCTAAACCTTGCTGCTGGATATTTTGCATCACCATTATTTTGCCCTGAAACTTGTTCTGCTGAATGTTTTGCATAGTATTAGTATATTTTTTCGAATATTTTCGCATTCTCTTGGTGAACAGAAATACTCTCTTACCAGAGTCATGCTCCAGACAAAAAAGAGATGAACGATAAAGAATTTTTTTTTTCATGTGTACCCTGTCTATCTAATTGCCAGCTGCTTACACAAAGTCATGACAACCCTCTGTTTCATTTCAGGTTTTTGTGGAGGAAAAATGCTACTTTTGCAATATCAAGGCATTACAGGCGATTTGATGTGTTTGTGGAAGCAGAAGCTAATAAGGCTGCTGGAAAGTATGACAATGCCTCCATTGACTTCCAGATTGATTTTTATAAAAAGGAGGGTTTGACCCCATATTCTTCGGCTAAACTCCCTATCACTAGTGGTAGGACTATGACCCAATCTTCTTGTCTGTTCCATTCCACTTTCAACATCCGTTGGTCAAATTTTCTTTTAGGGTGTTTTCTTGCTTAAGTTGGTGGTCATTTTTACTTTTGTCTATCTTAGTGCAATCTGACTATCACTGATTGCAGATGTTCCTGAAGGATGCGTTATCATAAGGGAGCACATTCCAATCTCCAACCTCTTTACTTGTCTTTGGTTTAATGAAGTGGACCGTTTTACATCGAGAGACCAGATTAGCTTCTCGTCTGTAAGGGACAAGATCAACTCAAAGACTAACTGGACAATAAACATGTTCTTGGATTGTGAGAGGCGCAACTATGTGGTTCAGGTAATCTTATTAATGGAAAAGGATAAAAAAAGAGAGAAGAAAGAATATGACCTCTGATTATTTTCTTATAGATAATTTGTTAATTTCAGCTTACAAATATTTCTCCCAAAATTACTTTTAGAACTGTCTGCATTTTCCTTCCTGTGCTGCTTGTTGCTCGTAGTTTCAATCTTTTACTCCCTGATATAACCTGCATAGAACACCCAAAATTTCACATCCTGTTTTCTGATAGAATAATGAGACAGTGTTATTAGAGATAATTCTTGAAATTTTTTTATGGTGCACAGTGCTAGTTAGTACTGGCAATAATCAGCTATTAAACTACTGTTTTGTGAAAAAATGTCTGGTAATGTTTCAATAGCAATTCTCATTCTCATTTTTAGCGAATGGAACGATTTTTCTTTTAACCAATGCTTCAAGTACTAAATTGTTTTTGATGATTCTTCTCTGTCTCTCTCTCTTAATGTTTGAATGGCAATTCTTTCCACCATTGTTTCTTTTGTTATTCTCTCTCCACTAGCCTTATCTATCGCTGCCCCTGATTCACTTCATCATCTGCCATACGAACAATATCTTTATGTAATTTATCCTTCAATCTACTAACTTTGATGTGACTATCCCTCTTGCTCTACAGATAGCATTGCCTTTTTTTTTTCCCCCGGCAGCCCATTTAAATACTTTGCAATTTATTATAACATGCAGGGTTACCACAGAGATGCGCTTGAGAGCCGGGGCATCCACCCCCCTATTGCGGTTGTGCATCCTCCACCACCTATGATTGACGAAGAACCTAAGAAAACAGTACCTGAGTTTTTGGCAGAAAATATTAACTCTTCTCTAAAGAAGATCACCGCGAAGCGAGGGAGGGACAGAAAATCCAAGCGTCACAGGAAAGTAGCTGTTGGCAGCAAGGATATCGCCTCTACTTAAATTTTTGGTTAGGCAAAATTCATTCTTTCCATCCCCATTTCCTCAATCACGGTTGCGGGGCTGGGAACTGTAAGATGAGTGTCATGGTAGTGTTTCTACACAGCAATCTCCCTTTCCTCACAAGTTTTGGTTTTGAGATGTCAAACATTTCCATTATTTTATTGTATATATTTTACGTTGCCAAGGATTATGCGCTGGAAATGAATCTTTCTCATACCATTGCCATTTTTGATCAGAAGATTCTTCACATAGCAACTAATGGTGCCTTCAGAGAATGGTTAATGTTTTAAACTGATGAAAAATCGTGCAATCAAAGACTTGATCCCGCATCCCTGTTGAGTCTTGGGCTAGGTGTACCACATAAATTTTAATCGGTTGCTTGTCATGGCCAGGAAACCTTTTTTCCTGCAGCAAAACTGACAAACTCTGGTGAGACATGGTTTATCTTTTCTGGTCATCTTATTTAGGGGAATATTTGTTTGGATGGTAAGTTATTTCTCCAAATATATTTGCTTACATCATTATTACAATTTTCAATACACCTTTTTATCTTCTCAATTATCTTTACCTACAAGAAACCAAGCAAGAAGACCACCAACATTGTCGCAGACCTTTAATTTGATCAGGTTTTTCCTTCAACGTTCCCCCCCCCCCCCCCCCGCGGTCCTTTTTTTTGTTGTGTTTCCCTCCCAGTACATTATTTTTATTTTTGGTAACAATTAACATGCTCATATTCTGCTGCATGGAGGAGCTACACTTGTACAATTCAAAGATAACCTATCAAGTTGACATTCGAGCTGAGGTACATGAACTCCTTCATTGCGGTCACCCCGCCTCTTGACCAAGTGACAATCAATCTTTTCCTATTATGAAGTACTTAGAATTCATTACGAAATTGCAGTTATCGGTTACATCGGATCCTACCTAATTCCAGAGATAGAACAAGATCAGTAGGATCCTTCTTTAGCAGAGGGTAATTTCAAGTTCATACATTTATTTAATCAAATATGTGAAGTAAAGATCATGATCGTATTTATGTTGTTTTGGCATATGATAGTCCGATTGCTGGAAAAGATATAGTAGTATTTTATAAGAGACAACTTTTGAGTGTGATATATTAAGCTAGAAAAAAGAAAAATCTTTGATCTTGATCACCAATCCTCATACCAAGTGCAGTGCTAATGCATGTCTCACTATTTTTTCGAGTAGAACTCTAGTGGATCGGTGGCGAAAATGGAAAGAAACATTTGGCTTTGTATCTGGCCTTGTTTTCATTAACGCTGGCACAATAGGAAAGTCGCAATTTAATCCTGATCTCAAATTCACATGTAGCGTCACAATTGGTTTAGCAACCAATATGTTTGAGGCTGTAGATCATAAAGTGGTAGCAACCAACAATGGCTCTTCAAATTGTTACACCCAATGAAACCAGATAGTGGTTTCAGCTTAATTGACTGACTAAACAGAGTTTGATTTGATTACAATCTCCGTCTCTGACTCTCTTCCAATACATTGAACTTGGGAAAACAGCAATATTTTGAAATGAGAAAATCCACAAGTTTTTAAACCAAATTCACACTGTTATGCTATTTGGCACTCCTCTAGAAGTAGCACCATTTCCTGAACTAGGAATCAGCAGTTCATATGGGGGTATTCCAACAGCACATCTATTTCTCAAATTGGAATCGGAATTTCTTTCCTCAATCTCTCGTTCTAGCATTTTGATGTCCACAAAGAATCTGTAAAACGCCTCCAAGATTTCTGGTTCTCCTGACCAGCTCAATAAGTCATCCCTCTGCCCAATATATTCTTCATCACTCGAATGGGCAGAGATCACACTTAGCACAGATGCAAATTTAGCACTGTTGTCCAAACTGGGCAAAGATGATAGGAAATACTCTTTTGGATTTTCAAGAAAACTTGCATACTCGGGATCATTCTCTTGTGGCAACAGCTTTCGCATCAAATTGGGATGGCTCGGGTCAAATCTACCATATTGTCCAAAATTTAATGCAGCATGTTCTCCAGATGCAACCCATATTAAAGTCGTAAGAATTTTAATGAGATCATCAGGAGTTTCAAGATTAGGCCACCAAGTAGCAAAGCGATGATCTGCATGGCCTACATTAATTACCTCCCTGTACCAAGCTTGCAGCTCCTTGTCATCTTGTATCAGAACTGCATTTGGATAGTAATGATCCACATAAGTCTTCACCAATTTGTCAATTGCTGACCAGTAGAGGAGGCCATCATTTGCATATGGGTAGTCCTCGATAAGAAGTCTCAACCCGTGTTCGTGCTTAGGGTCAGGTACCGCTATTCCTCTATAAGAACAACAATCGACAATTAGTGATGTATGAAGTTTCACTTACATGGAGTTAGTTAACATTTAGAAAATCAAACCCAAAACTAGCTAACCTCCTTATGAGATCGGCTGGAAGGCCTTCCTGATCGAAACGCCAGAAATCTCTGTAGGCAGAACAAGCAAGCTGCATGCAATATTGTCCTGGCGCATAGAAGGATTCAATGGTACCATTTGCATTGAGGAGAGTTTCACGGGCAGTTGTATTGACCCTCAATGTATATCGCAAATGAGGTTTGAGAAGCTTGAATATGGGGTGCATTATGCTTAACTGACGGTGAGCAGCTATTATGACTGGTTCCATGCAGGCATGCACCCGCAACCTGTATAAGATTGACTATCTAAATTAAAATGTTGCTCATCAACGAACTGTTTTAGGTATGCACTCAAATTTTACATAGGCTGATTAATCTGTAAAGCACGACTATCTAATCTTATGCAATGAGTTTTATTTACGAATTCTCCCTTTCCCAAGGCAAGGAATACTTGAGGTCAATTTTCACCCTTTTTTTTAATATCTATCAAATATGAAAAACTTTTGCTCCTAAGACTGTATTGTTTACCAGTGATTTACAAGTTGATGAACTCCACTATCATTGGTGCAAACATGAGCCTTGGCGAGTTGCCATAGCCAGTTACTTGTGTCATCAATAGGAGGGGTAAGAACTTGCTTAGATGAAACTGTTAGCTCCCCTTTTGGAAGGCTCAGCTCGATCGCAACGGGTTTCAGAGTACCTGCGCTTGTTAAGAAGAACAATGTCCGTGTCGCATAGGATTTGCGATCATCAAGAGCATTTATCTGATTGAGAAAGGGAAGATAGAGATCATGGTAATCCAATAGGAATAGCTTCTTTTTGTCCATTGCCTGAAAGTACTAGTCAAAGTTAGTCGATAAAAAAAAAAAATTTTGCAGACACCAAGAAGCGCAGTATTTTTCCAAGTACACATAACAACAGTAAAAACGAAAGACTATTCTTGAGTATTGATAATTCATTTGGCCCTCGAAAAATTTATTTCCTGTACAAATAGCACCTTAGGAATTCCCAGTAGAACCTAGGGTTGGGAAACAAGATCCAACACCCAGATAGTCGTACCTGTTGCACTGACATTCCATCTAGATGGCTGATGATGTGTTCTTCTTTGAGAGCTGATTCCAGGGGGCCGTAGATAGACGGATCGAGTTTGCTCCTTGGTGGGAAGTTCTGAACAAGAAAAACAATCCTGTCTGATCAGCAAATTTTTGTTTTTCCAGACACCATATATATCGGATTGCATTAACAGAACTTAACGAGTAACTTGTAAATAAAGACTACTTCTGGACTTAAAAACCCATGTTTACAAAGACTCACCGTCAACCTTTCTATGTTTAAGGGATTTATTCCTGCAAGAACTCGTAGAGCAAATTCGTCGTCCCCCAGATCCGAGAATCCCTTTGCCCCTTCAGGAATGTTGCACATATATACGTGGTTATTCATCTCGAAAGGGACTAAATGGTTGGCAGAATTTGAGTTCAGATAATATGTTTTGGATTTTTAAGCTGATGCATAAAAAGTACACTAGGATGAAGAAAAAAAACATTTAAAGGAAGATTGATATGAAAAGGTAAACGATCAAACAAGTAAAATTTTGCACTACTTGCGTAGTGTGGTTGAAGACGTAAGAAAATGAAATTTCTAATTAAAGCGTGGTTTATTATAACGTGATTTCATGATAAAAAAAAAAAAAAAACAAAGGCAAGTGAATGAGCAAAATTAAACATCACTTACCAGGTGGAGAATTGTTTTGGTAATGGGGTAATTTGATTTTGAGATTGGTAACGTCGGAGTAGAGGTTGGGAACTAAAGAAAACATCAGGTAACCAAATACTGCCTTAAGCTTTCCTGTAGATACATATCTGTTCTTTGATTCCTCAAATTCTTCATCTCTGGGCACATATACAGGTTTCGAACAACTTGCTGGGATTTCCGCATTGGCGTCTGCAGTCAGCAGCTATAGTTATTAGATGACATATACTCAGCATCAATTACTTTAACCCCATGCTAACAATGAGCTTACCAATCTTATTCTTCGTCAAAATGATATAGTTTTATAATTGTTGATTGATACCATTAATTACTTTCTTAAATTTCTGCGTCTTACATTAGAATTTCCAGTTGTCTACCTATCAAACATGGTTCATTTGTCATAAATGAAAGATGGAGTATTTATAAGTTTCGATTCTTTTTCTTTTTTTATTGAAAGGTTTTAGAATAAGATCCATAATTTTAACAAGCTTGGATTGATCAACTACATTTTTTTAATTTGTTTAATAAATTTAAATGTCGCTCGTCTCCTTTTGGCTCCATTGTCTAATACTAGCTTTTGTGGACAAAAGTACTCTAACTGGAAGATCGTAAATATACACATTAACAATTAGGTTCTAGGAACAAAGAAAATTGATCATTGCTCTTCGATGGGGACTTCCCAGTTGATTTTCGTCTAATTGTGTACGGTTGGCATAATTTACTGTAGGATATTCATTTGTAGCTTGTACATAGTCTTACCTGGCTGCTATACTCTCTTTGTTATCACTTACTTCCAATTTTAATACAAAGTTTTGGTTTGCTTAAAGAAAAATTAGGTCCCCATACTCTTGTCACTTTCTTTCTTCTTAACTCTTAAAATCAATAGTCATTTATAACGAGTCTTCCATGGCTTTCACTTAGGGCCATGGTTTTGAAACCCAACCTATGCATTGACTCGGAAAATTTATTGAGTCAAGAGTCATTGATTCAATCGTTAGGTCAATCGTAATTCACATGTAACATATTACATCTAACTCATTTAGTTGGAGATAAGAAGGGTGTGAGAGGGACGGAAGGTAGGAAAAAAAATTACATGTGACATTATAAACATATTATAATTATTAAATATATGAATTGTGAAAAAAATTTAAACAAGGGATAATTTCACAAACCTCTCTTGAAGTATCTGACAGTTGCAAAGATCTCCTCTCAAGTTTTAGAAATTACATTTAGTTCCCTTGTTTTTACTATTTAGGTAACAAGATAGACTCATCAGGTTGGATTTTCCTCAAATACCCTAAATTACCCTTGTTCTATAAAAAACAAAATAAAACTATTTTCCTCAACACTTTCTTCCAAATTTGCAACAGCACTACCACCAAGCAAACACTTCAAACTCCAACGCTAAATCTAATTATTTCTAAACATGAGACAAACCTACTAAGCAAATAGTTTGAACAGTTCAAGAATTTCAGTAACTTAAAGAATTCTAACATCTGTCTTGTAATATCATCCCAGCCTAAATGTTTTTGAATAATCAATTCTCTCTTGACAACCAACAACCAAACTCACATTCTAAATTTCAATTCAATACCTAGTACCATGCGTAAATCAAATAATAATCTAAACTACCACCACCAATAGAACAATTCTCCAACCTCCACAAAAATATATATTAAATCGTAAAGAAAATCAAATGCATTTGTTAATATCCTACACAAGTTTTTAGGATAATAACCAACCCAACAATTTTCCCACTAATCCCTCTTCTTCTATGCTTCGTAGTTATCAATTGCATTATTTATTTCTTTATTATCACTACAAGCATATTCATTTTTCTTTAGTTGATAATGAAATATGCTCTTGCAAGTAAAATAGTGCCATATTCATCATGTAAATAGAAATGGTTATGGTATCATAGGTCATCATTAAAATAAACAGAGATGTGAATATAGTAAAAAAGTAAGAGGAAAGGAAAGTCAAAGAGACAATAAGAGGGAAAAAAGAAAGAATCGTTGCTTACAAACTGAGAGAAATGGAGAAAGAAGGAATAGCTATTGGTGGAGAATAAAAGAGGTAAGGTTTCCTGGTTTTATATATCTCTTGCATCATATTGTGAATTATCTATTAAATGAAGGATATTATAGTCATATTATCACACCAAGAGAGGTTAGTATAATTTCTTGAACTTGAACGGAGCCGAGTGAAATTGGCAAAAACCACAGGGGATGTTTGTGAAATTATCCCTTGAAACTAATAACACATGCTAGGATAAAAATTTTTGTTTTAAACAGTTGTACTAAGAACAAGCAATTGATCAACCTAAACCTCTAATATTGTTATTAGTATCATCAATGTTCCTAATTTTTTTAAATTATCATTTTACTTGCATTATAAACACATTATTCAATCACTTTTTCATTAACAACCTTTTATTTCACATACATTATATCACCAAAAAAGCTCTCCAAATAATGAGAGTATTTGGATACCCCAATTATCCCAAATAATATTTCGCTTGCATCATAAACACATTTCCCAACCTACCTTTTTATATTCCCAATCACCTTTTTATCTCACATACATCACATCACAAAAAGTGCTACAGTAATTATTCCAAATAATATTTCAAATAATACACTATCCAAACAAACCAATATTTTCAAATAATCTATTGTTATTATGTTTGGCTCACCAACAATGGTCGGAGGACGGCCAGTCCGGCAGCGTCTAGGATGAGGATTTTGTTGGCCTCCTAGGGTAGGTCTTACACGTTCGATCCCTTTATCTGGATCTCCAAGATCATTATACACATCGTAGTCGTATATCCTATCAGACGCCAATCTAGTCCCCGTCCCATCACCTCTCAGTTCCTGAAGTTCCCTCTCCCGTAGTTTCTTCAACCCCGCCGGCGTCTGGAACGGCAGATACGCCTGTTTCAACCAGATATCATATATTATCACCCTCAAGTCAAAATTCAAAACTGATGTTCAATTAGATATATATCTCTGGTAACCCATCCCAACCCACCAGGTTCATCCTAGGCAAAGAATCTGATTTTCAGAGCCTTGGAATAGTACTACTGATGGGAGTTAAGCTTAAGCATTCACCTTGTTAGAGAAGAACACCCTGGGCCTGGAATTCACCTTTTCTGGTTGAATCCAAGACTTGCAGTCGAAATTGACAAACCCTTCAACGGAGATGCTCATCAAGAAGAATTCTTTCTCGTACTTGTTGTAAACCATAATGGCCCCCGGCACGCCGAAGTTGTGGTCAACTGTAAATTGAATTCTGAAAGTTTGATGGTGGGAAGAACCACTGCTTGGGCCATTTGAGTTTGACATGTTTAATACAGCTTCTCTGCTGAGCTTTGGCTCTCTTGTATCTTCCGTAGAACAGTTCAAAATTTTTTCAGATCCAAGATAATTGGGCAAAAAAATATATATATACTACTATAAGAATTAGTATTACTATAAAATGTACTGTGACATTGGTCCAAATGCGAAAAAGATTGAGAGTTTATTTGGTCTTTTAACTATCAAAACTAGAATACTTGAATCTGAACTGGAAAATCGTGCAATAGAAGTTCCATGTAGCTTAATTTTTTGATTTGATACAATTGCAATTCTGATCGAAAAAATTCAATATTTAAGGATCAACAAGTGATTAAGAAAGGAGGACAAAGTTCATGATGATCCGGGGCTTACGAGGATCGAGCTCAGAGCTAACAAGCTGAAGCACGACACCGCGGCCATTAGTCGTGGAGGAAGCATTCATCAATTGGAAAATCACGTCCTTTAGATCCGTTGGATTAGCATATTTCAGTGTCACAATAGCTGACAGGCTAATCGTCCTTGATGGTTCGTCTTTCTCAGCTTTCGCCAAATTTTCTTCAGCAGAGCAAGTTTCTGCATGCCCAAGGATTGCCTTGCTGGAGTACTCCAGGGGTTTCCTAGTGTAATTGGGTAGTATTGAATTGAAAGTAGAGAGTTTTTTCCTTCGCTGAAACGGTTTGACATTCAGCAAAAATCTTGTAGACGAGGCCAGAAGTTGATTACAGGCGGCCATGTTTCCAGGTGCCTGTGTCTGATGAGGCCACAAGAAGAAGTACTGCTAGATGTTATATAATTTAGTCTCTGGAGATTGATGAGCTGAAGAAGATTTGCATTTTGGGATTATAGAAGTTTGGGGATGGTCCAATTAGTGTTGTCTACTACTACTTATACTATGTTTTAGTTCAGGATCAACAATAATTACCAATGGATTATGATTAATCAATACTCAATGACAACATAGGGAACCTTCTGTAAATCTACATGGTACACTAATTTATTTGCCGTTGACTGATGCAAATCGATCTTGTTTTTTGCAAGTGAGTTGCCACTTACTCATTAATATAGGGTTAGTTACATCTATCTCCCCTAAGGTTTGGCAAATTACAATTGACCCTCTTGAATATCTAAACGTTTAACAAATACCCCTTCATGTTAATGGCTGTTAGGTATGTTGCTTGCATCAACAGAAAAATAGGTCTGAAAGCCTCAAATTGCCCTTTTGAAGTTTGAGTTAATTGCGTTTGCCTTCTTTCTCGATTTGTTCAAATTACAAAATGGATCCTATTTGTTTTAACTTATAGTCGAATGCGTCTAGTATGCAAACAATTAAAAAAAAAAACAACTTCTACATTAGTCAATTGATGTAATGTCAACAACATTTTAATGAAATTTCTAAAAAAAAAAGAACAAGAATTCAACTTAAGATTATTGCAAAAAGAAAATTTTGACTCATAATACCACATTTTACTAATTACATATAATATAGCTAATTTTTCTTATTTCATACTCAATTGTATATTCAAATGTAATGGATGATTGTTATGCAACAAAAATAGGTCCAGAGAGTATGGTAGCAGTTGAAATAAGCTATTTCATGATTTTTTTTATATTTATTTCTTAATTCTTTGAATGGACATGTCTGTTTGGTTAGCAAAATTTACAAAAAAGATTTCCAAATATTAGTCAACTTGCATCATAAACAACCACTTTTTTATTTCACATATGTTACATCACAAAAAAGTGTTATGGTATCGTTCCAAATAATTTTCTCCAAATAATACCCCAAGTCCTATCTATACAGCCCTTTCAATAATTCAAATAAACCTAAACGGAGATAATTGTATGTTAAATACCCGGCATTTTTGTCATTTCATGGCCTCCTCAGTTGGGTTTTCGAGATTGAAGTTGGACGCTTCACATCAATGTAATTTGATCGAATTAGATGGTTCATTTTGTGATTTAGTCAAATCTCAAGGAAGATAATTGTAATTAACCCTTAAAATAAGACATCTACACTCTAACACACACACACACACGCACACACACACACACACACACATATATATATATATATATATATATATATATATATCATGTCACATGTAGTACTAGTCATTGGCTAGATTCCATTTTCAAGAGTCCTGTCAAGTGGAGATTAATTAAGTAGCATGGCAAATGAACAAGATAATTAGCCGAGGAAAGTAAGAGCTCACGTACAGCCAACTAAAAGGTTGGTATACCAATCGTACAATCAGCTCATTGTACATCCGTTGGAAGGGAGATTTTACAAGTTCTGCCGGGATGGGCTAAAAACTTATTATTATTCTTTTTTAAGAAAGGGTTTACTGCTTGTAAGCATATTTCTTAGGTGCAATGGAAAGGGGAAGGGCGAGGATTTGGTCACTTGATTAATATTCTTACCGATTAAATTGGGTTTTGAGAACTAAATATATAAAATAAGGAGTATGTTTTTTATATACTATCGGTGTATAATTTTTTCTTTTATACTAACAGGTTTAGATTACATATCACGTAACATGAATTCAAATTTGAAATTAAAATCATGCACATATGACATATATCTACAGCTGTTAATATAAAAAAAATTATTATAGTGCTAGTATATAAAAAATTAATCCTAAAATAAAACCTATCAAATAGTGTCATAAATATATATACTTTATTTATCTATTTGTTTGTATAATATGTGAAATACTTTGCTCTTCTCAAAATTACAAGTATTTTTTTTTTCAATCATAGCTTTTCAAATGAGCCTTATACCGTTCAGAATATTCGTCAGGCCCTTTCTAGTATTTAGGATGGCAATGAACACTGCCCCTACTCTGCCTCTTAATCCGCTTATGTTGCATCACATATACAATAAACATGTTTGTTAATTGTTAGTAATATGTTTATATGTGTCCGGGTAAGCTAAATATTATTGATTACTTCTCCCCTCTACAAATTGAAGGAGTTTGTGGCAGATTGAAATTGTATCATTTCTTTGTTCTAACAAAATTTGTCGGCTAATTGGTGACTGGAAGCATTCTGATAAGCAAAGATGCTCTTGCCTCTATGTACAACAATTTATAGTATGAGTAAAAATTGTTATTAGGACTTGGAAAATTTTGCCAATGCATTTGAGTGTTGCTGCTTTCTTCAGTCAATATGCAGCTTGTCTCTCTTGTTCAAATTAAGTCAAATCAAGGAGCGAACATTAGTATTTATTGAATCAAAAAGTATTGAATAAAAAATGTACTCATCCAACCAATAACAGAATGTAGAGTGCGTTTGATAAAATTGAAATCTGAAATTTGAATCTATTAAATTATTAAATTATAAATACTAGATATATATATTTTTGAAGTAAGTTTTGCCTATATAATTCAGATCTATTTAATTAATTAAGATATTTTATTTTTTATTAGAAAACACTCATAAATATTTTAAGATCTAAATCTATTAATTTTAAGTATTAAACTAAGTTATCAAAAAATCATAATCCCTCACTTTCAATATGTTGAGTTAAGGCCGTTGGAGCATCCCATACGTTGTTAGGATCACTTCAAGAAAAGTTGGGTCGAGTTGACTGCCCAAGTTTGATGGTACAAGCATGGCAGGCCCGTAGATATGGGTGAATACTGGACCAGCCACACGTCTTCCAAATGACTGCATTTTTTTTTGCTTTTTTGAACAAATGGGCTATCATGTCCTCTTGTGCGCAACCATACAAGTCCGTTAGGTATGCAACACGGCCTTGAGAAGTTAGACCTCAAACCACATGAAAAATTGGTGCCTCCAAATGATATCGGAAAAGCAGGCCTTTTTTTTTTTTTTGGGCAAACTTCATGAGTAGCCCAATTTTTATGAATATCTTCTTTCCTTTCATCTTTTTTTTTTTAACCTTTCCAGGGCTTTCAAATAATAATAATAATCATAATAGTAATAATAAACTTCCTGGCCTGCATATGGCCATTTGTTATATCTGGGTTTTTTTTTGGGTTCTGATTTATTTGGTTTCTTCCCTTTATTCCCTTTTTTCAAACCAAGTTATCTGTAAAATTCTCAAAATCCTTAATCTGATTATCTTTTAGCTCCTATCCTTTATCACCAGAGTACATCTTGAATATAGGATGCAATAGCATTATTGTAAGCTTGTATATGTTGGCTAGGCCAGTAATATTTGTAAATCATGTAACAGCTCATGGGCCATTAATTTCTGTTTCCTTTTCTTTATAGATGCATTGTGGAATTTGTCTTTTTTGTGCTCAGCCATTGATTTTCCAAAATAGTGAAGTGTCCTCTCCGGGGTTAAGTTAACAAAGTGGTCTCAAGTTAATCTTGTTCGACAATTGGGAGTCGTTTTCGATAAACAAAATGATTTTCTAACATCAACTTGTGGAGAAGTACTCTTCTTCCACATCGCAATTGGTTCTTATCCATTATTTGTACCATAGAACAGTCACGGCTAATGTGTTCTATCGTGGGTTGAGTGCTTGTATTTGCCGAGAGGATCGGATTGGGTTTGATGATAACGAGAGAAGGAAGGTCTTGTATTTGTCAAAAAGTATAGTGCAAAAAAACACCATCATAAGTGTCATTTATCATCAAGTCGTGTACGTTTTTTTTTACTTCATTCATGCAAATTAATGTAACTAATCCTTTTTATCTCTAAGCAAGTAAAGCTACAATAACATCATCACTAGCATTTCTAGGGTACTTTCCTTTTAGAAAAGAAATTAGAGGTCGTGGATTATAATCTTCCAATCTCTTCTGTGCTTTCCAAATTCCACTCTTCTTTTATTAGAAAAATTTTTTGGAAAAAAAAAAAAGGGTACCTTCTTGCAAAGCTCTAGCACGTGCTTTTTGACATCTTACTATTGGTGAAGATAAGGATCAATTTACATGGCGCATGAACAAAGGCACATATCTCAACTAGTAGTTTGTCAAGAACAGTGAGAGCATTTTCATCCACTCTGCTCCTTATCTTCTTTAGTTAGGAAAATGTTTGTTTGAAAAAGCATAAACATCTGAAGCATGTAGGTCCATAAATCTTTCGGTCCACTGCTTCAAATTAGGCAATAAGACTGGTCTGTTTTAGAAGGCCTTATTAAAAGTATAAGAGAATCTTCTCTTTCTCCCTTTTATTTTTGTACTCATTGACTTAATTCCTCTAAAAAGTGAGGGGTTAATTTCAAGAATCGATATCACTTAGAGCCCGTCAAGTTTTTGGAAAACTCACCTCTCTGTCTCCTGAAATGACATATTGCACGACATTGTCAGCCCTTATGAGCAAAGAAAGATTAAAAAATGCATTGAAAGGGAGAGATAACAGTCTATTATCTGTTGACATCTACCCCCTTGTGTAACCTGATTCATGAATTTTATACCAGGAATAAAAGGATAGCTAAGGATGAAATATTAAATTAAGTATTTGAGGAGGCGTAAGTGCAATAGAGTAATAACAAATCAGCCACAAGACCGTTACTTCAATGATGACTTCTGCAGCTCCTTCAGTAACATAAAAATTAGGAAAAAAAAGGGCCTGTTATGAAACAATTAAAAGTATGGATGTCCCTTTGTATTCTCAAGAGGATTAATTCATGATTTATGACTACATTATGTATAGAAGTTACAATCCATAAATCTATTCATGTAGTGGAAGAACCGTTTCATAGGTTTCTTCATATTCTTGTAGTAGTGGGTGTTTAATAGGATTAATGAACCTTTAATCTTGTAGTACCTATATATAGAGATATATTGACACCCTTTGGAAATGACTTTTGTATCTTGTTGAAATACAAGAATATCATTCTCCATTGCTCTACTTTTCCTCTAATATCTCTATTCATTCTATAGTAGTTTATTAGTTTTATAACACGTTATCAGCACGAGTCTCTACATTTGAGCAAAAGATGAAAACGGAGCCTCTACCTTGAGTAAAAGTGAAATACGAGATTCTGCCCGTATTTTTTCGGTAACTTTTGTCTACTTATTGAGGTAAATTTTTGACACATAAATTTATTTCAATTTTTTATGGCTAACATTTGAATGATCAAAAAAATACAAGTGCCTATTGCTGAGCAATCATTAAACACAAATATATACTGTTTGACATCTTTGAGGTAATATTTCTCCTTTTAATTCTACTTATTTATCTTTAGAATTATTTTTTATAAATACTTATATTCTGATGCATTGAGTTTTAGAGATGCTATTATAGAAAATCAATTATGTTTGAGAATTCACTTGTCCTTTGAATACTTAAAGAAAAAGATTCGACCACCTGAAGATGGTCGTTTTTTAACGAAAATATTGGGCCACCAGAAGATGGTCATTATTTCAAAAGCTTGGTATGATAAATTTACCTGTGGCTACAAGAACATAATTATGCAATTTTTAAAATTACTTCTCAGTTGAAATTGTGTCGAGAAAATTTTACTCATAAGATATATTGAAAATGATATTCTCTACAATTGATTTCTCTAATAGGCTCCTGTAGTAGCAATATTAAGAGAAATTTTGAGAAGTATTTTGGACTTATTGCATGCTAATTCTAGTCCATTCCCAGAAGTGAATGTGACTAAATTTCAATTTATTAGTTATGGTTGATGCCATGACTATGGTTTTGGTAAATATATATTTTACCATAACAAAAGAAAAAATTACCACTTAAAGTGGGATAATATTGATGAGGACAAGAAAATAAGAATTCTGAAGATAAATGTCCCGAAGTACATTTGACGAATCAAAATTATAATAGCATTTTCACATGGCCAATTTCTTTAAACACCCTGAAGGTGTATGATGATTGATTTAATTAACTTTTCTTCCTGAAGAAGAGATGGATGTTAAATATTTGGGATCAAAGGATTATGGTGATGATATTTGTCCCATAAGAATTATGGTGACAATGATATGTGTCTCATTAATAAGTACTACTACATATACTATATTCCAGTAAGAGAAACAAACACAATCAATAGTTGTACTCAAGTGATTGAAAACTCCAGAAGAGTCACTACTATATTTCTCCTTGTAGGAGAAAAATTTATCATAAATAAATCACTACTTTTTACCATGTCTCGAAAAATTTATTGAATTTGAATATTCAAATTGAGACACTAAATGAGACAATGACAAAGATCATGTTTATAAATCAAATGAGATAAAGGTTAATTATATCATAATAACCATTCGAGAGAGAAATGGTTATCGATATAGTTGTCTTCATTCTCATTTGATTAATAATTATCACCTGCAGTAAACCAGAAGTTTACTGATCCCAATGGATATATGATTTGACGAAAGTGAAAATATTTGAGAGCAGACAAATATTTATACATATCCCCTTTATATTATATATGGCTCCAAAAGAAATTTAGAATTTATGTCGGGTATGAATCACTTTTTACGATTAAATATCGTAAAATATTTGATGAGTGATCTATTAAATGATTTATTTATTCTGATGAGTTACGATTCCCGACATTAGGGGGAGGAAGAAATCAACCGAAAGGAAATCATTTTAAAAAATTGAATTTCTTGGATTCTCGTACAAAATAACGTGAACTGAAAGTTCAAAAGATTATTCATTTGCAGAAAGTTGCAAACCAATTATCAATTATATTTATCGACTTCAGAAGAGTCATTAAATCAATTATTCCTGCAGGAAATATTTTGATTAAAATTGATGTCCCTGAAGGACATGCACAAGTGCTACAAATAAATTTAAGCCCGGCCTACCTAAATAAGGTATAAATTGATTTCAAATATCTCTAGAGATTAAATAAATGTCATGACAAAATTTAACCCCTTGAAGAGGTCGCTCCTGAAGAGCCAATTTCTGAAGAGAATTAAATCATAGAAAATTTAATTGGAGCCTAATGAAATGTAGCACTTGATATTATAGAAGTTGATGAGGATCATGAATCTAGGTCGGTTGATGAATGTCGGTATAGAAATGATTGTTCAAAGTGGAAAGATACGATCCAATCTGAATTGGATTTATTGGTTAAAAGAAAAGTTTTTGGACCTGTAGTCCAAACACTTGAAGGTGTAAAGTCAGTAGAATATAAATGGGTATTTGTGATAAAGAGAAATGAGGAAAAAGAAATTGTGAGACTTGTAGCCCAAGAATTTTCACAAAGGTTTGGATTTGATTATGATGAAACGTATTCACCTGTAGTGGATGCTATTACATTTAGATATCTTGTGAATTTTGCAGTACATGAGAAATTAGATATGCGTCTAATAGACGTCGTTACTGCATATTTATATGAGAATCTTGAAAATAATATTTATATGAGAATCCCCGAACGATTCAACATGCCTGAAGCATGCAAATCAAAACCTAAAAATATTTATTCTATTAAATTACAAAGGTCTCTGTATGGGCTCAAACAATCTGGACGTATGTGGTATAACCGTCTCAATGAATGTCTGACAAACAAAGGTTATACCAATGATCCAATATGTCCATGTGTTTTTATTAAGAAAAATGGATCAAATTTTGTGATAATTGTTGTATATGTTGATAATCTAAATTTGATTGGAACTCCTGAAGAGATTCAAAATAATGTTGAATATTTGAGAAAAGAATTTGAGATCAAAGATTTTGGAAAGACAAAATTCTGCCTTGATTTACAAATTGAGCATTTGAAATGTTGAATTTTTGTCCACCAAACTGCATATACCCGGAAGGTATTAAAGCGATTTTATATGGATAAAACACATATATTAAGTACTCCAATGGTCGTCAGATCATTAGATCATAAAAATGATCATTTTAGATCGCAAGAGGAAGATGAAGAGATACTTGGTCCTGAAGTACCATATCTCAGTGCAATTGGTGAAGAATATTGGAATGCGACGATTAAAATATCTCAAATAATGTTTGCATCAGGGGGAGAAATTAATGCACAAGAATAGTGTACTCTTTTTCCTTCATTGGGGTTTTTGTCCCGATGGATTTTTCCCTGGTAAGGTTTTAACGAGGCATATTCTTTGTGTAATGGACATCCAAGGGGGAGTGTTATGAAACAATTAAAAGTATGGATGTCCCTTTGTATTCCCAAGAGGATTAATTCATGATTTATGGCTACATTATATATAGAAGTTACAATCCATAAATCTATTCATGTAGTGGAAGAACCGTTTCATAGGTTTCTTCATATTCTTGTAGTAGTGGGTGTTTAATAGGATTAATGAACCTTTAATCTTGTAGTACCTATATATAGAGATACATTGACACCCTTTGGAAATGACTTTTGTATCTTGTTGAAATACAAGAATATCATTCTCCATTGCTCTACTTTTCCTCTAATATCTCTATTCATTCTATAGTAGTTTATTAGTTTTATAACAGGGCCAAAAATTTTGTAGCAAAAAGGCAAAGTAAGAGCACATATGAAGAAATTGGTAACACAATATGGCAAGTTTAAGTGTTGGAAGGATCTTGTAATTCACCAACATGATTCAGATTGTGTCGATATTGCGGATGCAATCGCAATGCGACAATTATAATTTTCGAGACCAACAGGAATCCAAATAAGCTCTAATACTTGCTAGTACCAAATGCAAGTTCTTTCAACGTTACGAAGGCAATAAAGATGATAAACGAGAACGTAAAGGGACAGATACATGTAAGGGAAATTTGCCAAATAGATCCCTAATATTTACACAAATTTTTTTTAATCTCTAATATTTAAAATCAATCTGAATAGTTCCTAACAAATAAATTATGATCTATTTTGATCATAATACTCGTATTTGCTTATTTTTTTGACTGAAAATAGTACGCCTTTCTCAGGTGAACATATTTTCAAGGGCAAAATCGAAAAGCACGCTTGGTTTCCCTTCTAAAGCAAAAGTACACCTGACCATCACCCATTTTCACCTTTCCCCCTCAAATTACAGCCACAAGAAAATATACCCATATCAAAAATCATCAAAATTTGTCGAAACTACTGTAGAGACGGCAGCCAAAGTGCCTAATCAACTCGTGCCTATCCCGATTTAGCTGGAGCCAGCACCTAAGAATCAAATCCCCAAAGTTGACGATCAAGGGTTGAAACAAGTGATTAAGGCCTATTTGACACATCCATCAGAAGTCCCAGCATACTAACAGGGAAAGCTGATCAAGATCTGGTCTCGCAAGTTTTCTTCAAGAAAATTAAGGAAACTAAATTATTTGCTGACATGAAATTGGACTCGCTCAAGTCCAACAACAGCACCAGCAGCAGACACGCCGCTAAGGGGATAAAGCCTCAAAATGACGCGGGTGCTTTTCAGTTTGAGGAGAAAGCAGAGGCCTATAAAGCTGCTGGTGAGGCTCTGGAAACATCCAAGATTTCCTCACCAAGACAGAAAATTGATCCAGAAGGAAAAATGATCAAGAAAAACAGTAACAACATGGATGACGCTGACAATCAAAAAGAGGTTAAGTTGGAAGAGAATCATGGTGGGCTGAATATGCTGAAGTGGAGCTTAACCGGAATAGTTGCTATTTGTTCTTTTGGTGTTGCCACAGTTTGCATCCTTGTATTCGGAGGTGTCCGAAAGAATAAGCAGCAGCAGCAACAACAACAGAAGCTTCAATTCCACGTTTACACTGACGACAAGTGTGTTTTCCAGTTTTACCCTTGAAAATATACTCACGTGAGAGAGAGGCGTGCTATTATCAGTTAGAGAAATGAGCAAATACGAGTATTAGGACAAAAATGGATCATAATTTATATATTAGGGACTATTCTTGCTAATTTTAAATGTTAGGGACTAAAAAATTTTTTTATATAAATATTAGGGACCAACTTGAAAAATTTCCCTACATGTAAAATAGAACGTGGGAGCAACCAAATTTGACAATCACCATGCTTTGCAACGGGACTTAAGGCCTTGCTTGGATTGCTTGTTTCCGTCGGAAAATATTGTCGTTTTTCGTAATCACATTTTCCTATCACCTTTTTCCTTCACATATATCAAATCGCTACAGTAATTTTTCCATGAAAAATGACGAAATATGCAATCCAAACACAACCTAAATTTTTTTTCTTCTCCGAACTTTTTCCTTCTTAAGAAGTATTAAGACTTTGAAGGTAACATTGGCATTTCAATGCCTCTAATCAGGATATCTAGCCACATTATACTGGTAGCGGAGATAAAGTGAAATTTTTGAAACTTAAGAAATCCTAAATAATGTTATGACAAATAGGGGTGTGAATTGAAATCGAAATTTTGATATCAGAATTTCGACCGATTTCGATTTCGTTCCGAATTCAATTCGAAATTCGGTAAATTCCGATTTCACCGAATTCATGAATATAAAAATTATTATTATTATATTAATATTATATTATATATATAATATTATATATATGTGTGTGTGTGTGTGTGTGTGTGTGTGAAAATGAAATTGAAATCGAAATAGGAATTCCGATTTCATCGAATTCATGAATATAAAAATTATTATTATAATATAAATGTTATATTATATTATATATATATGAAAAATATATTTGAAATCGAAATAGGAATTTCGAATTCCGATTTCGATTTTGATTTCGAATTGTGAATTCGAAATCGGAATTTTCGATTTGAAAAATCTCGTTACCGAAATTCCGATTTTCATTCCGAATTGTGGAATTTGAATTTCCGAATTTAATTCGAATTCGGTCGGTAAATTAGAATTTTTCGATTTTGCACACCCCTAATGACAAACCTCAAGAGTTTTTAAAATTAACCCAAAAGTAAAACATATTGAACGCACTTACATTTTTGTCATGCTTATAGTGAATTTACCCGATCTTATCCCACTAAAACAAAGCCAACTGATTTACCAGTCCCATCTTCCACCAAAATTACCTTACAAGAATAAAAAAATCAAGATTGGTTTCTTTGTGCCTGCTAGTTGAAGTAACTGATCAAGGGATAAGTTTATGGTCGAAATAAGTCTGTCAGATCAAGATTTCCTTGTGCTTGAACATTAGATGGCACTAACTGGCAGTGACTCGTTCTTAATTGAAGCACTTCGATCTTTCTCCAACCAGATTTGGATGTTACCCCAAAATGACTAAGATGTTCTTTACTTTTTTCGGGAGAGAAATATGACTGGAAATTGTTGTAATGTTGTTGGTACATAGATGTAACAACAGTTAACTCAATTTACTAGCTTTGGACAAATTCCATGCAATGTTTTGAGGGGACGTCGGCTTCTTCACTTTCTGGTTTTGAGGCACCCTTGCCCAATCAATCCTGAAATTCTTTTCCTTTTGTTTTCATTATTGGAATCTACCCTCTTGCATGTTCTCCTCTATACTATAGTGGATCATTTCATGGGGTACGTAATTTCCTTGTACCTACAGAATATTATACAAATACCAACGAATTAGAGGAAAAGGAAAACAAAAAAGTGGTTTCAAACTCTACCATCGAATAGCAAGAGTGGGAAGAACAATGTCGGACCTTGTGGAATTATTGAGTGGGACTAAGTGACTTAGTGGACCTCACTTCTTTTGCCACCTGTCTTACTAACAATGCATTAACGGTTGAGTGCTCCAATATATTACTGTTTATGATTAGATTTAGTCTAGTTAATGGAATTCATTGTCACAACATAATAGTTGCTCCACTTACAGCGTCTCACATTTGGCCAAAGAGATCTCCATTACGACTAACCTAATTCAAATCCGGCTTGGATTCCTACTTTTAAGAGTTTTTATAGAAAAATATGCCGTAACGAATTGATGCATATATAAAATAAAAAAATAATTAAAAAATATATTCACGAAAAATAAAAAAAAAGAAGTTTAATAAAGGATGATTTATGTACAACCCTTAACGATTTTCACATTAACTAAATCTCTATACAAAAAGTTCGAACCTATGGGTGATTGATTAAGATTTAATCCTCACAGATAAAAATATGTAGTGCGTTAAAAAGCAATAATGCAATTAGAGCTCCAATCTAAAACTGCGTCTTTTGGTCAAATGGGGAGGGAGCTAGGCGTGGGGATGACCGACTAAATTACATGCTATTTAAAGTTCTTTCTCACACAATTAAGGCGGCCTTCAACATATCAATTTTTGGTTGTCAGATGTAGAGTCTATTTAAAAATCAAGTTTTTAAAAATATAATTAGTAGTACATGAGAGAGCGGAATATTACATGCAAAAATAAGAATATGCTGTGATGGGATACTTTAGATAGCCATGCATGTTTGAGAAGAAAATTTGCCTTTTTGGAAACTTGAGGTCTATGCTGATTAGAAAACTCTGGCGTTGGGACTGTTGATAGGGTTGTAAGATTTTTTTGTCATTGAACTTTTCTCCTCAAAGAAATTTTATTAAAATCTTGCATGCAGGTGCAAAAATCCAGAGTATAGCTTTAGATATCTTCCCGAACATCACAGGATTAATCAAATCAATTACTGAGAAGAATTAAGTAACCTCTCTGCAGCACCAAAATCATCCATTATGTCTTGGTGGGGTAGCACACGTACTTTTTTTAACTAGAAAAATTTTTAGCATACTTTCTTTCGTCAGTCTACTATTTTGCTTCCTTTCTTCGTCTTTTATAATAATTGCAACGCGACACATTGTTTTGCTCTTCAGTTCTTCTATAATCTATAGGAACCATCCATGAGTAGCTAAAATCATAAAACACCAAAATTCCCATTCCCCAGAAAAAAAATAGAAAACAAGAAAGAAGCCTGATTGCATGTACATGATTTTGGAGATAACAAGCAAACATGTAAAAAAAAAAAAAAAACCCCAATTTCGTCTTGCGAAAATGGCATCAATTGTTATACGATGTGATTAACAAGTTGACTTGCTGTAATTGTTCTATCTTGCGGCCCCAAGGCTAGGCCATATGCAAAGTAGACTTTCAGATCATCATTCCTTCAACCTCAATTTCTCATGCATTGTTTAGTGGAATAAAAGCGTTACAACTTTGAGCGCACAAAAGGAAAGTTAAAGAAAGTCTAGGGAAAAGACAGATGCATATACGTGAAATATAGGAAAATTCACTCCAACTCAGTCTGTTCTGTGAAGATAGTGGAAGACTTCAATCATCCAATAGCTAGCAAAAGAATAATTGCGCCACCTTCAACTTGTGAAAACAATTGGCGTAAAATATTCGACCTTCATTATTATCTCTGGTGCTTGGACTACATTGTATCCTTCTTTTTCCATGTCTTTACGAGTATAAGTTACTTGCCAATTTAGCCACATCAACATGCAATACTTCTGTAATTACATGTAACGACTTCATAAGTCTTATTGATTAATTAATTGCTTTGTAATGAATGTTGACATCATCCTTTTACAAGGTTAGTTGCTTAAAGTATATCAATCCTTACATCACTTGAACATAAACAAAGTTATGTTAGAGGTCTATTTACTTTGTTGTAGGGAATTCCTTTCAATCAAGAAGGTGTAGATTTAGATATATTATCCAAATGGTTAACTCCGTCTATAAAACTTTTGCACCAAATGTTGAACAATTTGATGGATTGGTATGAACTACGAAGAATCCCCATGTTTCCTTAGGGAACTTTTTAGCGTACGAGTGGCCTAACACTTTCTGGTACACTAGCATACTCAGGCAGCCAGCTAGCGTAGCTACCAAGCTTTTGGTAATTCAAGATACCAATGTCCAGAGTGGGGAAAATGGGATAATGACTGTCTAAACTTTGTACCAAGAGTTCTGTCCACTCAGGCATTTAAATGGAAATGAATATGCCTGTTAACTTGATTAAGTGGAATTACATTTGGACATTCCTACTGAGGAACTAGATTTTGGTTCCTTCTTCGTTTGTCTTTTATGGCCCCTTGTGATCACTTGGGGTCACAGCCTTGAATGTAGAAAGACTACTGGTCCATTTGGAATAAGTGTTTTTGAAATGTATTTTGAGGAGGGAGGAAAGAGGGGAAGGGAGAGGAAAGGAGAGAATGAAGCAGGAGGAGGGGGAGGGGGAGGGGGTGGCAGCGTTGAGGAGAAAGGAAGATCGGGGATGACGGTGGCGGGTGTAAGAAGAAAGAGATAATAGTTTTTTTTTTAGTGCATTTGAAATTGTGTAAATTTGAAATGTGTTATTGTACACTCCAAAAACAAAAATAACTTTGTGGAAAACTCCATAATCCAAGCAAAGCCATATAATCAAAGACAAATACATTGCAAAAGTAAAATTGCTGACCTTTATAATCCACCATAAAAGCTGAGTTAAAAGGGTGCAATAGATTCTTGAGTTAGTCTCGAGTGGAAAGTGATCATTGTTAGGAATATGTCATTTTCACCAGAAAAACTTTTGCTCCTGTTCGTGTCTTTCCAACTAAGAAAATGATCAGTGCTGTTAACTAAAAACCTGCTTTTTATGTTGCATCTACGAAAAGAACAGAGTCATTATGGACTTTGAGTTTGAGTTACATACTTATATCACAGTTAATCAGAGACAGCATGGTTATTGGTTTGGCAAGTCAAGGTGTCTCGGAAATCCTGGCTTGGCTAGTACTGATCAAGAACAGATTTGATTGCTGAATTTCTTGGATCTCCACCAAGATTTTGTGAAAGCAACTCTCACTCTTGTGCATGTGTTCGTGAGCCTACTTTTTTGCCTTAATTAACATATTAAACTTGGCAAGTCGCAC